GGAGCATTTATTTGGCACTAATGAGCATGGGGGTAGTGAGCTCCCATTGGTTAGTGGGGCTGGCACTAAAACCCAGGAATGAAATTTGAAGTTTTGGCTACATGTCAATTTCCTTGATCCTTAAATCTGCATGTGGGGTTGTTATAATTGCACTTACAATATGAGTGGATGGGAGTTTCTACAGCAGGGGTATCAAACATACGGCCTGTGGGCAAAAAAACGACCTGCTAGGGGGTTCAAACCGGCCCGTTTTGTAAATTTCGAAAATGAAAAGAAAATGCTCAAACGCTTCACGTTAGTCGTGATTTGTCAAATTATATTACATTAAATATGAATATTTTCTAATATACTTGTACTTGTTTGCATCGGGTGACTGGATACTAGCATGGTCATATAATATCTGTAAGAATCGTTATCAGTTTTCCCTCGCCAAATGATGTGTGCCTTAAAAATAGTTTTTGGGGGAAAAACGACTGCATATGAAAGCGAACGTCACTAGATGGCAGCATTGTAGCTCATTTTAATCATCTGTTTTGATAATCAGTGGATTGTATGCCGAATACCGGGGCCAGCAACTCATAAAGTGATTTGTACAGATAAATACATAAATATTACCAGCTGATTGACATCTAATCGGCGACTTATTTTTAGGAAAACTATCGGCTCCATTACCTGCTTACGTCCTATCATGCCGTTTGAAACCCTCTGTAGGATCTGACTTTTGAGAACATAAAGTTGACATGATGTTCTGTTCATACAAGAGGACTCATCTTCTCACTTTAGCTTCTGCGGGGCCTTCACTGTGCATCTGTTATGGATTCCGCTAGGTCCAATAAAAGGCTATCCCTTACTAGGCTGATGTAATTCCAGCAGCCTTATCTTAAAGCCATCAAAGCGGCGAGCCCTCAACCTGCTCTTTTATTGTTTGAGGAGCCCAGGAGGCTGCATGTTTTGTGCACTATGTGCACACTGCACACCTCCACTGGCTACACTCAAGGTGCGGGGCTATGAGATCGGTTGACTTTTATGATCATGTGCCAAATCCGCCGCAAGTCTTTGAAGAGCAGGTTCGGAGCGCTGAGTGTCGTCCTCCGTATTTTTTAAGGGGGTTGTAAAGGGAGTCGTCTGTTGAAGCGCACGCGAATGCATCAAAGAACAAAGATTTCCCTCAACTAACGGAGAAGGACAGCATCAACAAATTAAACTGGAGAGAGTAGTAGTAGTAGTAGTAGTAGTATTCTGGTTGACTCTATTTACTTTTTACTTTTATTCACTATTCAATAAGTATTATATTTGTTCAGCATAAACAAATAATTAACTAATTAATAATAAACTCCTGGTCTGCTCCTTCGGTGTAGGTCTTGTCAAAAAATCTGTCTATTTTGCGCTAGCTAGCGCTACGGTAGTGCTACGCTAGCTTGAGGAGCAAAGCAGCATGATAACAGGCACAAACTGCCAGGTTTACAGTTGCAGATGTCACGAGGTGCGTTCAGGTACCATTGGAAACATGAGAATCCGACAATTACGGCAGTTTGTGTTGTACATAGATGAAAAAAAAAAAGTTCTTTTCTTAGCTTCCCTTTTCTTAGCTTCCCTTTTCATTGCTTTCTGAGCCCGCTAGCAAAATACAACTGAAACAGCTTTGTGTACGAATCTTAAAAAATCAGGATACAATAATGCACAGAAACACTGCACATCAGCGCCTATCTCCTCTTTGAAGTCAATATAAGGTCAGTAGCCAGCAAACATTCCTTACAATCAATGAGGCAAACATGTTTTACTTCCTCCTAAAGCATGTGGAATGAAAATATATCACCGTGCTTGTCTCTTTGGATAAAAGCGTCATGTGTATTTTTGTCTTTTAAGGCTCCCAGGCCGCACCCAAAGACAGACCTGAGGACAATAAAAAAGACAAATATCACTTCGCAGTAGATGCGTTCTACAACATCTACTCCAAAGAACATTTATCCTTAACGGAAACAAGAGCACTGAGACTCTTGAGTTTCTCCCTTCGGAGCGTCCTAAATGTTTTGGTTTTTTTTTTGAAAGCTCCCGCTGAGAGACCTACGGATGCTTTGGTTTTTTTTTTGGGAAGCTCCCGCTGAGAGACCTACGGATGCTGACTACATCATTTCAGACTGTTTAGCCATAAGGTAAACACATCTTGAGCTTTTGACAACAAACGTCCTGCAGCAACACAGAGGACAAGAACCAGTCAGGCTACCTCCAGGATGACAGCCGAGGAGGTCCTTCGGTCATGTCCCACCAGGTGGAAACCCGGGGCAAGACCCTGAGCGTAATGGATTTGGTCGAAAGAGACAGGGAGAGGGAAGTTTTCCGGCTCGGGCCTCGGACAAGTGTCAGAAAATGGATGGATGGATGAATACATCCGCGCAGGGTGCAGTTTGGTTGATTAACTGCAGATTGCGCCACCCGCGGGCCGTGCACTCTTCGACGCAGCATTCCAGGGCGAGATGTAATAGGCAAACACCACTATTAATCTGATCAAAATGGGTCAGGTTTGCATCAGGAAGAAGTACGGGGGTAAACACTAGTGTCTGCACAGTCTGTTACAGGGTGAAAAAAGAACAAGAACACTTGTTAAACAGACTATCTGCTCAGACAGCTTTAACATCACTGCATCCAGTGATTGATAGATAGATGGATGGATGGATGGATGGATGGATGGATGGATGGATGGATGGATGGATGGATAGATAGATAGATAGATAGATGGATGGATGGATGGATGGATGGATGGATAGATAGATAGATAGATAGATAGATAGATAGATAGATAGATAGATAGATAGATAGAATTTTTTTTAAGGATTTAGACTAAAAACTGATAACGGCAAAAACCTGCGATAAAACAAAAAAATCAGTCCACTGCAATCTAAACTAAATCACTCTCGTCTCAATAAAGTAAAATAAATAATTAAATTAGAAGTGACTTCCTGTCGGCGTGGACAAATAGGTTCCTTAATTGGAAATAAAAACTCCGAAAGGAGAATTAGTGCAGTTTCTAGAACAACTAACTCCATGTGGATTTTGTGGATTCTCTCTGGTGTTTTAATTTGACGGAGGCCTGGGCCTCGGGGCCCGGAGGACGAGCTGCTGCTCGGCAGATCCTTTGAATAATATTTGCCTTTTGTCCTCAACAGAAAAAGATGTTAAAATTCCACTGACATCTGGGTTAAAATGTCCCTTTAGAATCCTGTGTATTTTGGACTTTAACTCAGATCGGGGGGGGAGTAAGAGACGAGAAAAAACAAAAACAAAAAACAAAACAACAACCTGCCAGACACAGCCATCACCCTCGACTTCCTCCCTGTGCAGACGACGAGCCCTTCAGTTGAGAGCCCACAATGACAGGGATAATGGACAGGACTTTTTACGTCCACCGGCTCCACCAGCCACCCATCACTTCCACAAAGCCCATCTGTTTCCATTCAAGCCGCAGCGCTCGGACATCATTCAGCGGAGATCAGAAGAAAACAAGGGGGCGGAGGGTTGGGTTCGGGGGGTCAATCACTTAAGATGGGTCAGGAAGACCCTGGTGATTTAATAGGGGCACTTAAGTTTTTTAAAGTCAAGTAAAATTTTAAAGCCACTGTGGGGGTCATAGTGGGAGAGCATTCAAAATTAGTTGACTTTTTCTAATTCTGGCGAGTCATGGAGGCATCTGAGGTATTTCTGCACCAGACGGAAAAATAATGGGCCGGTGCTATGAACAGCTCATGGCAGAAGCGTGACTGGAAACGTGTCCGTCAGAACAAGAAAAGACGTTTTGATCATATAAAGAAATCCTCGGTTTAGAAGCGGGGATTACGGTGATTGGGATCTGGAAAGCTGAAGAACAAAAAAAAAAAAAAAACTTTACTGTCGGAGGAAAAAGAAAAAAGGCTTTCAAGTCCAAGAAACAGCAAGAATTAAGGAACAGAGACACTGGCGCACCAACTGTTCCCAAAACGTGTTGGCTGCACAAGCTGCCACTAGGGGGTGCGCGAGATAAAAATGTTTTTTTTTTCCACACATTTTTTCCACACATGAAAGACTTGTATATGAACATTTGCTTTGTAAAAAAATTAATAAATAATAGGTTGATATTTTATATATATATATATAATACACAAAATATGGCAATATATAAATATTAGAGTGTGTTATTTTTGTTCCTGTTTAAGCTTGCCTTTATAGACAGCTTTTTTTGTTAATTAAAAGGTGTGGGGAATTGTGCCCTTTAAAGTATATTCACTTTTACCCCAGTTTTATTTTAATGATATTGTTTAAAATACAAAAAAAAAAAAAAAAAAAAAATAAACAGTTATTTAAATCTTTATCCTACAATGAGGGGTGGTGAAAAAGCACCATGATCCTCATGATCAAAATGACCATCTGACCAAAAACATGGTCACTTTTCTGAGGTCCACGAGGACGAATCCTCTCTAATTTACCTTGAACCAGGTCATTTACCGTCGCTTTGACACAATTATATATTTTTTTAAAATACCCGTAGTTGCAGTAATTCACCAAAAAGGTCGGTACATTAGCCTCGACAGCAAGAAGAATTATTTTGCTTCTCTCTGTATGGAGTCGTCATGTTCCTCCCACAGTCGAAACGGCACATCAGGAGATTTAGGTGGTTTCAACACTCTAAATTGAGCACATGTGTGAAAGTGAGCAGGAACGGTTGTTAGTCTCTATATGTGGTCTTATCTTTAAAGCAGTATCGGTGGGAGAATTTGGTCCTAGTATAGGATTTGAAAGGGAAAAAAAAAATTGGAGTAGTCATTCCACGACAGCAGTCCGCCTTCATCATGTGTGAAACACGTCAGTTTATTTCAGCTGAAGCCCAGAGCACTGATGCCACCTGACAACATAAAAGCATAGTTTGAAGGTGAAATAACGAGACACACATGTGCCTAAGGTCTAAATCCACGTGAGGTTATTATATATATATATACATATATATACATATATATATATATACATACATAGGTCAAGGTACAAGTGAGAACCTTCTTCGTGTCCATGCCATACTAGATTTTTAGTGATTTTGAAAACCAGGACCACAGTGATACCAAAGAAATAGTGTATAAATCTTTTTTTTTTTTTTTTTTAGTGCAACAGTACACAGTACACTTATCCATCATTTCCTTTGAGTAAAATCCATAACATTCAGTCTAGCTGAAGCAGTGACATACACCGTAACCCAGCACAATTTCCATCAGAACAACACACTTGCACAACAGTTCAAAAGACACAGCGAACGAAGAACATCAAGTGAAATATATTCAAGGCACTTAATAAGTACACAGGAAACTCACAGAAAAATAACAGAAAAAAAAAAATAAAAATTTGTCGACATGAATCGAATTTGAACGCGGGCGAAAATGAAGAATAATTCAGAGAGCGCGAAGGCACGTTTCCATCTCGTACGATGAAGGGATAAAATCCAAATCCAATGTAAGTCGTCGTTCATCCTTAAAGTGCATTACGTCACCTCCACTAGGGTAAATATCGAAGACAGTGAGTGGCAATATATACATATATACATACATATATACACACATACATATATACAGACATGTATATATATATTTATATATGTATTAGCTGGCACACGCGTATGAGGACCTTACTTTTTTTTTTTTTTTTAGGTCCAAGAATATGGCTTGTAGAGGTGTGTATATTGCATGTATCCGATCGTGGTTCAACTTCTCGCAGAAGAGTTTTTTGCTCACAGGTTAACTCTCTGCCCCTCCCAGGGTACATTAGCACCACTAGAGTGATATATGGCAGCGTCAGCCACCGCCCCCTTCACAGAGGTATAGAGGTGAGGTTGACAACGAAATGTAAAAATAAAAAAGAACAAAGACAAATAAAAAAGATTTCCAGGGTTCCAAAAAGAGACATTTTAGCTGAACAGTAGGAAAATTTACAGATATGGCATAAGGTTTTTTTTTTCAGAATCTGAATCTACTTCTGCCACTGCCTCTATTACTTTTAAAGGAATCTCTACTGGAAATAAAAAAAATCTCATTCCAAGAGTTTGAGCAGCTTAGGTACAATTCAACTTCTTCAACCCGTACTGTGTTAAAGGAAGAAATCTTATGAGATAGATACCTATAAATGGCGGTGGAGGAAGACGCAGATTTAATGAGGATTTAGCATCAGCTTAATTCAAAATTCAAAATTCTTTCCGTCCCCTCTGAAAGGCTTGGGAAGTTTCTGTAGGAATGGACAAGATGTGGCAATTTTACATTTGCCTTCAGCCTCCATTTCCGCGATGCAGTCGTGGATTTGAAATTTCAGGACATTAACGTTCCCAGGAACTCCACGGATTTCCCAGTAAAACAGCGGTACGGCGCAATTCTGCACAATTTCGAAAGTGCGTCGTTATATACTGGCCTGCCTGCAGTCCACGTCAGTCTGCTAGTAAAAATGGCTGACGTGAAGAGAAGAATCAACCAGAGTTAGCAAGTTAGCATCCCCCGGTTCCCCAGATGTTTACGAGGAGGCATGAAATCAGTTGTGAAGAAGTCGGATTTAGCTTAGTGTTAGCTTCAGACATTTCACTCAAAATTACAGTTTAGAGCTATTAGTTCTCATTTTCAGGAAGTCTACGGACGTTTCTTCAAACCTGCATCTGTACATATTTACATTAAATCATCCTGACAATGCAACGAGCAAAAAACAAACAAAAAAACAAACAAAAAAAAGAGATGAATGACTTACAGTGAGTAAGCTAAGTAAGCTAATCACGGGAGTGGTCTTATTGCCTTCCAAAACATCTTCACTGTCGAAAACAAATGTAGGCAATAGTGGCATCTCAGCAATTTGGTTTTTTTTTTTACCAGTCTATATCAAGTTTCTATATTAAAAAAAATCCTTAAAACAGTCGCGTTAATGTGGCGACGGCTTAAATCCAAGGTTTCAAGAATAAAGCCATCAGAGGTGAAGAAACGCGTAGGTGAAAGTGCATTAGCAAAAAAAAAAAGTGTTAATTTAAAGCTTTATATCCACAGGCCGCATTTTACGCCTCTCGGTGGACGCATTGTGAAAAACCAACTGGGGGGGGGGGAATGTTAAAGGTGTAAATTGACTTTGACACTGTAAACACCAGAGAGCGAGGGGAGTCATGTCAGTCACGCCGCCTGACGGTGCTGCGATTGTTAATCTTCAACCAAACCATCCGGGTTTGGCGGCGCAGATCTCCTGAGACGTTTATTTATGCAGATGTTTCTCACTTCTGTGGACGTGCCGGTGAGTCGTGTGTCGGGTTAGAGAGGAGGGCGGCGGCTCTGTAACGCCTGTCTGCATTATAGACTGGTGTTCTCTTTAGATTGTCACTGTTGAGATAGTTCATAAATCGTATTGAATCTTCGGTTTTTATATTGCTTCTCAAAAGAAAAAAAAAAAGTCCAAAAGTGACTACCTGGAAATCCCTGCACGTTATAGCAATAGTAACTTTTAAGTCCAGTTGTTAATATATGAGATATATTCGTAGAGTAAGTCATAGAAATGCTTCCTTCTGCATCCTTTACCATGAGTTAGAAGTGACGTCCGTTCCCCGGAGCAAGGTCGTGCAGTGAGTTACAATTTTAAAGAGTTTCGATGTTTAAACGAGGCCAAGAGGAGGCGCCGTCATCCAACAGCCTTCTGGCGAGACTCCCAGCCCCCTACTGGTAGAGCTGAGTGACCTGAATGACCGGAGGAGAGGAGCTGAGTGACGGGCCACACCAGCAGGCGGACGATCGCACCAGCTGCACCTCGCATTTGCCTCTGAGGGAGAGGAAGAAACACATTAGGGGGGGGTTGGACTCCGAACGAGCTGCCAGGTGATGGACTGCAGGAAGACGGATGGAGTGACACAATCGCAGAATGATGCATGCGGCGGAGGAGAGTGACAGGAAAGAAAGGGAGGAAACACGTGAATCAAGGCAGGCTATCTCCGTGGCTCTCACACCTCATTCCTGCGTCGTGACACGTAATAAAGCAACGCTGTCCAACGAGCGCCGCTCACAACTGACTCAGCTGGCCCAGCTCCAGGTTCATGTCATTCACCTTGTTAGTTGAAAGACGCGATCGAGCCTTGGCGGATAAAACGAACTCTGCCCCGTGAAGGAAACGGACTCGGCAAGTTGCATTTGCCGAGTCTGCAGATGTTCGTGGTGAGAGTTCGTGGCGCGTTTTAACAATCCAGATGCTGCGTTAACGGTCTGTCAAATATCCTTTGGGCCAATTGATCACATTTCTGACCTCTTCATATATAGTAATACTAGTAAAAAAAAAAAACGCGCCAAGGCGGCCTGAGAGCAGGAGGAGAAAACCATTTCTGTGTAAAAGCAGCCTTTTGGTTTGAAGTTCTCGCTGAGTGTAATGAGCAGAGACCACCATGTAATGACTCAAAGCAATATAGTTATAAGTCCAGTGAAGTGTGGCACAGAGGAAACAGCACGCAGCAGACAACGTGAACAGACAGGAAGATTAGCCCCCTAGTGGTTAAATAATGTCAGGAAACAAAAGGCGGCAAAAGAAGAAAAAAAAAAATCTCCTGAACAAGAAGATGTTTTCTCAATGAGGACTCTTGAAGGTCTCATTGGTTCTGGTCAGAAGTGGGAGCAGTGACATAAGTTCAGCCTGAAGTCATGATAAACATTCTGCCATCCAGACGTTAAAATAATAACAACCAATCCCTATTACATCCCGTGTACTTAAAACAACACAGCTCCGCTACAGAACAGCAGTTCACAGCGGGGCGCTTGTTACCGCACCAGACGGAGAGCATGAAAAGAAAGCATGCTATGGTGTTAGCTTGCTGTGCCGGCATGTACAGTGAGTAGCTTACATGTTATGGGTCTCTCTCTCTTTTTTTGTTTGTTTCAAATTGGATCGGCGATGCTGTGAATCAACAAGGAGGGGAGAGAGAAAAAAAAAAAAAAAAAAAAAACAACATAAGAAGAGAAAGGAAACGTTTCGGAGTTCAAAAGGCAAAAGTTACCAGGTGGCGATGTTATAATAATGATTAAGATGTGATGAAATGACAAATGATCAGAACAATGACAGCAATAAAAAAAAAAAAATTGCACATCAAGGTTTTTCAATCTTGGGGTCGGGACCCCATGTGGGGTCGCCTAAATGTCTAGTGACCCATCGTCGACTTATTTTCAATGCAAATTATTTTATATGTGGTTTACGGTTTTGTTTTGTTTTTTAAACAACATCGGTGGTTATCAACTCGTGGTCTGAGGTCCAAATCCAGACCACGGAACTGCCCGATTAGGCCCAAAATAATAATGTTGGACAAAAATGGTGATTCAGAGATGATTGTGTGACACGGAAGTTAATGTTAATCAATTCTTATATAAGGTATGATGTTATAATTAATGTTTAGTATTTGCTCTGAGGTTAATGGGACCAAGCTGATGACAAAGACAATAATAATTAAAGCTGTTGTTAATGTAATGAAATAAAAACAGCACCAGCGCCCTCTCATGGCTACTTTTCCATTCTCCTGCCTCCCCTGTTCTGTTTCATATGTGGCAATGCTTTAGTCAAGGGGCCGCGGGGCTTTTGTCTGTTTCCAATTGGCATGTTAATTTGCAGTCGGTGTGCAACTTTACAACTCATCTCTGTGCTGTTGGAATGAATCCACATGTGGTCTAAATATACATTTTAAAGGCAGCCTATAGAGAAAAAAAAGAAGAAAAAAAAAAGGACGATTCTATGTTCTGCACTCTTAAGACTGTAAAATATTGTAATATTATTAAATTGCTTTTTATACGACACAGTAATGTTCTTGTACAAACTGTAGGACGATTCTGTGTTCTGCACTCTTAAGACCGTAAAATATTGTAATATTATTATATTATTGCTTTTTATATGACACAGTAATGTTCTTGTACAAACTGTGATCGACGTACTCCTCCACATGTACCGGATTCTAACGAGGAGCTGACGGGTTTATTTCAAACAACAGGGCTGTTAACGTTGGTGTATATACAAAACACCCCGTTTTTTTTTTTTTTCTTTTCATTTACACTTCACAGGGGATCACCGGCTGTGTCGCTGCACCTTAAATTAACGCTGGTACTTCTGTTTTCATTTACCTACTTTACAACCAGCACAATGTGGCAGAGCGCTGGAACGCCACATTAAAGCGGGGCTTGAACTGAGGCCGAGCCCTAAGGCGAAAGCTTTCAGTTTCCTTCTTTTCATTTTCTAAACCATCTTTATGGATATGAAGTGATAATTAGTTTTCCCTCCAGTCATCTTGTAAAAGAG